TTTCTTAGTTTACATAATTTTATTTTCAATCCATGGTTTAACTTGTCTACCTGAATCGTATTTCTTGCACATCTTAATTACAACCCAATCATATCATACGAATTAAAAACCTGTAATATCAATCGTTGTCACGCTAAATGCGAGAGGTATGATTCAGATTTGTTTAAGATAAAATTTGACATTCAATTTTGGATTTGATGCATTGGAAAAATATTGAGATTCGGGAGACTCATGTCATGTGGTCTTGAATTTAACATTTTAGTTAGTTTTGTTTTCATATGAATGCAAGTGCTATTTCCAAACTCTCTTCCTGCATTTAAAAAGTAAGTAAAAAAACTTAAATTGATTATATATTTAATGACTAAATTAGTATAAATGTATAATCATTTCACATGATGGAATGGTGGTATTTAACCTTTTTTCAATTAAATTAATTTGAACCAACGTGCTTTAAATCATTAAGATCTAAATACCTTTTTGGCAAAAGCAATTTCTATATACAACACAAAACGCATCAGCAAACGACTCCAGCTAGCATACAAAAGTGCATCTTCTGGGTCGAGGCGCATTGTATTGACAATTTTACATAGTTTTCTGAACTATTTACAGTGTAGAACTATTAATTTGTCCGAATAAATCTAAATAATATCTTTTTGAACAATATTTCAAATTAACAATCACATAAACGATGATATTCATTAGCAGTAACCATTTAAGAATAGGGACAGGTATCCGTAAGGTTTTGGAAAGAAATCGTCGTCTCCGCATTAAACTACCCACAGCCAACCATTTTGATATGAGTAGAATAATTTTAAGTACTCACTGGTTGAGGCAACAAGAACCTAATTGATCAGACAATACTACGGGAAATGATTTAATATATATAGAAAAACAGAAGGGAACATTACAGAGAAAGCATGCTCAGATGGGGAGGCACACACACACACACACACACACGAAAGGGAAAGGTACAAATAATCTTGAAATTAAAGATAAAGAAATTATACTTTAATTTTGTATTCGTCAAAGTTGACCTATCACGGACAGAAGAGTACATGCCTAAAACCAGCTATAACTGGAACATCAGTAAAATGAATCCTTTATTTAAAAAAAAAAAACTTAGTGAGATGAAATTTAAGTCATAGATCAGTACCATTCCGTTCCTTATTACACATAAAAGGTTTTATGATTTCAGTCCTCGACTCACTAAATCATTAAATTCGACTCACTAAAGCATTAAATTAAGGTACTACACTCAATTTTAATGAAGCTTGAGAACACAAGGGGATATATGTGTGCGCGCGCGCTTTAGATTAATGATGATGATATAATAACTGATTCTAAATTCTAGCTAGCTGCTATTTTTCCTGTATTTTATTTGAATTCATTTTTTAGTCACAATCACAATTCTAGTATTTTGCTAAACTCCGTACTGACGGTGATAGGAAACTAAAGTCGAAGAAAAATGGAAGAGATGAATTCGAAGCGGGGGAATATGAAGGCTGGGCAGCACCATTTGCTTCGAACTAACACCTAACGCTCTACCAGCCTCCAATCTGAAAAGGTAAACGAAAGCTTCACACGTCCATCCCATGTGCTTGCTAGGAGCGGAAAGCATAAAATGGAACTAACACAAACAAACGGTTGTGTGTTTGAATTCATAAAAATATACATGCATGCATGCAGAGTCTTACTACCTCTTGTCCTTAATACTAATATAAATGATGTTATTTAATTTGGTTTCTGATGCAAGACCCAAATTCATTTTGTTTATCATATTTATCTTTTTTTTCCCTTAAGATAGTCTTTATAATAGTTGCACATGTTAAATATTTCATCAAATAGTAGTTCTAGCTAATACATGTAACCACCAAAAGTCTTATGGGGAAGATAATACCAATTTATTACAAATAATTAACTTAATTAATTTTTTTAATCTACTCAAATTAATTAACTAGCTCTTATATTAAAGACTGGAGGTTGTATTACATTTGGTTTTGTCATCTAAAAACGAGCTAAAAGCATCAGAAATACTATGTGAAAAAAATAGCATAGTTGATAATTAAAATTAAACTAGATGGATGCCCGCGGGCATTAAAGAGGGATGTTCAACATGCAACTTTTTACACCACAAAATGAGAAAATTTTTGAATTAAGAAAGACATGCTGATTTTACAAACGTGATCAAATCTATAATCTTTTCATTTATAAGAGAGTTCTTATATCATTAACTAGCCACAAGATCATTGGTCATACCAACACTAATGAACACACTTAGCTGAACCAATTTTTATTTTCACAAAAAAAAGTGACTTATATGCTAACTATATCAATTAATTGACACCTCGAATAAAAGGTAACTATTACTACCTCGTACCCTTAATATGAAGATCACATTGACTAATTTGAGGAAATTAAAAAAATTAAAAATTTATTTAATTATAACATATGTTATATATATATTTTTAAAATACTTATGTGTATTATTAGATTATATACCAATTTATAAGTTAGACAAATTAGGTTAAAAAATAATAATTATAAATATTTTAAAGTAATTTTTTAGTTTTTTTAATCTTCTCAAAATAGTCGATTGGGTGTCGTATTAAAAATAAAAAATTGTAAGAATTTAAATATATTTTTAAGAGTTTTGTGTCGGAGACTAATATAATGCCGTCTCCCTGCAATTAACAGTCATAGAATCTTGGCACGTGATCAAAATTCCAATCTAGCTGCTTTAGCAGCCACCTAACAAACGAAGTCAACCCAGAAGATATCGTTTTCCCTGATACACATATACTCAAGTACTTCTCTTAATTTCGTTTTTATTTATTTAGTTATACATATACTTGTTTTATCCTATTTATAGGATAGGAAGAGTATTCTTTTGTCCTTAAAATTAAATAAATTATCTTATTAAATATATTATATGAATATGCAATTTCACTACTCCTAATTTATTGTTTTGTGCACTATCACTTTATTCTTTGATATTTCTCATCAAAGTATAAACATGTTAAATAACAATAAAATTTAGAAGTTATTTGACTTTTGGTGAAATACGGTTGAAAATGGTTCATAAACAAATGGTAGGAGTAACTAACATTCTAACTTGAAAATTAAATAAGTCTAACGAAAGGTCATCAGGAGTAAATCGATCATTTTGGCAGGGATGACTAGGAGATGTATCGGGTTTAGGTAGCTAATTGAATATTAACTTTGACGTTTCGACTGGGCCAACTTTTAATCAGCAACTTTCTGGTAAAGTTGTTTGGTTTTAACATAAAGTATTCACATGTCTTTGATCTGATGGGTGGAATATTTAGAATCACGATGCACTAACCATCCTGGGAATCAGGTTAATGAATATTTATATGATGTGATTTATTATACTACCCGATTTTTAATATAAGATCTTATTTAATTTTTAGTTTGATTCTAAATATAAGACTCCAATCCATTTTGTCTTTCATATTTATGTATTTTTTTCTCAAAGTAGTCCTTCTAACAATGTTAGTTTTAATCAATATATTTTATTAGCAAGGATATTTTAGGAAAGACAATATCTATTTATTAAAAATAACTTACTTAACTTATTTTTGTAATCTTCTCAAATTAATTAATTAATTTTTATAATTAAGATCGGAGGTAGTATTTCGGCTAGATTTGATCTTTTTTCTTTTTGTTTTAAGATGTCATTTGACTCCATGCATATATGCGATGTAGATCTAAAAGACAAAAACTTCCCACTACTGCTATTTTTTTCAAAAGTAAAACATAAGAAGTATATTCTGGTAACGACAAAGAATAATCTCCCCCACATTACTCATTAAGGACAAAGGGTGGAACTTTTCCAATTAGATTATTAATTATTTTTTTAATAAAATAATCTCTTTCCCTATACATAAATACTGTGATTTTGAAATTGTATAATGTGCTCTTTAAACTGATAATGAAATAACAAAGACAATTTTCCCTCTGGGACTGACGGGGCCGGGCAACACGCCCAGAAAGAAAAAGGATTAATTAAACACAAGATCCCATCATGCAGTTGCTATAATGATTAATTACTTTTATATTTAATTTGAGTTCTTTTACAAAATTTTTTTAAGTCTGAGATAAGAAAATAAAGTATAGAGATATTAAGAAATTTAAATTCTTACAACTTTTACAAATTTAACTTGTAAATATGAAATTTTAACTTATAAATATCAGATGTTGAGTTTAATTAACTTGTAAATATGTGAGTTTGGCTTGTAAATTATGAATTTTTTTAGACTTCTTAATATTTAATCTTTTTACCTGACACTTATGATAAATTCTTATTTTTTTTAAATTTACACATAAAATCCTTGACTTTCTTTTCCACCACAGAACTACGTGACAAATAATTGTAATTTTAGGTATTCGTCCCTTTTCAACATCATTTTCTTCTTTGCGTCACAATGCTGCACTCTATAATGACATTCAGAAATTCAATTACTCAGCCAACTAGAAAAAAAGAGTAAAATAAAAGTAACAATGCCATGGCATTATTCATGACAAATAGGACTATTTCCACAATCCAAACTACCTACCTATAAGCCGATAATAATTATTTATTATTTATCTCAGATACTTAATATGTGATCTAGTTTGTAATTCAAATTGAACTACAAACTAAATCTTATCTAAGGACAAGAGGTAGCATCATATATCATTTTTTTCAAAGAAAAATTATTATAAAGTCCCAAAAAAGGAATATAATCACCATAAAATTTCCACTATAAGTTAATAGAATGCATAGATCAATTGTTATTTCTTTTATCAGAACTTGTAATTGCATGATTCTCACTTATTATGTGCTTTTTGATAGCTAGATTTTTTTTTTCCTTGGAGATATCATACTGACTTTCCTTCATTTTTAATGTCCCATCGACTCATGCTCTTTTTATGTGTACTAGTGTGTGTATGAAGCAATCTAAACCATCTCCGTGCCATATAATAGAAAAGGTATCAGATTCCTGCATAAACCTAAATTTTTTTTATTATCGATAATGCAAGATCGAACATTTACAGCACTGCATGGGATGGAAGAGTACACATGTGCTTTACAAGTTTCTGAGAGCCAATCAAATTCATTCTCCACCACTATTAAAGCTGAGGACGACGACATTTATTGAAAATTAATCCTTATCAGAAACGTATATATATAATATTCGTCAAGTGGTGATCGAAGACAAATATGGATCGATGACAACCTCGTTCACTGCTCATGGCGTTCATCAGTAGCTTCTTGCACAACTTCATTATTCTCAAAACAAGACGATGGTTCGGAAATATCGAAATTCAGAAGATCCGAAAAGAAACCCTCGTCCATTTCAAAATCCTCGATGAAATCCAGCTCATTGTTGTTTGTATTATCATTATTGTTATCATTTGCCACTTCTGACCCCGCAAAAGGTGGAAATGGTTCCTCTACTATTTTGTCTTGATCACCACACTTAACGTTCATGTCCCCACCATGACGATAATGAGTAGTGGTCAAATATGGTGCGGCCATTAGTGGTTGGATTTCTTTGCTCACTATAACTCTGGTGCACCTTGTTGCTTTGGTTCGAATCACGCATGAACTACTCGTTTTTTGTGGGGCTTTTGGGTCCGGGTCCGACTTTGTTATGTCCTTGTCCTGTCGGGCTTTGCTTGGCGAGACGCCTGAAGTAGGAGACGACTTTGTTTTTGAATTAACATTTTGAACCTTCTTTCCGATGTTGGTGTTCCAATAATTCTTTATCTCATTGTCTGTTCGTCCTGGCAGTCGCCCAGCTATCAAAGACCACCTACACGTATGATATATTAACGCACATATATATGGTCATTACTGATGTTGATGTTTTGCTCTCACTAGAACACTCTCCATAATTATATAAATGAATCCAACGTATTTATATAATATTATTAATTTTTCATTTTCAGCCCTTTAAAGTGAGTTTATAAGGGGACCAATGATACTCTCAGGTTTTTTTGGCATATTACTATAATACTAAGAAAATTTATTTCTTTTGGAATTCTACATGATGAACAAAATTATGAGCACGTACTATGTACAAAAATAATACTACCCCCAGTCTTTAGTATAAGAGCTCGTTTAATTTTTTATTTTAGTCCTAAATATAAGACCTCAATCTACTTTGTCTCTCATATTTATTTTTTTTCCAAGATAGTCTTTATAACAATGATAATTTTAGCCAATACACTTAATTAGCGAGGATATTTTTGAAAAAATAACATCTATTTATTATGAATAATTAACATAACTAATTTTTTTAATATACTTAAATTAGTCAACTGGCTCTTATATTAAGGACCGGAGGTAGTATAATTTTTGAAAAGATTCAGTGTATATAAGTATAACGTTATTCTTCAAAACGTCAACATCTGGCCTTTCTTTTCTGTTGACTTGAGAGGCGTATTATGGTTTACATGATAGGAAATTAGCAAGGAGAAGAGAGAACGATAGAGAGAAGAATATAATTTCACTCTTCTCCTCGCTAATTTCCAATTATGTCGGCAGCATATAATTCCTAATTTCACTTGTATAAGAAACTACAGGAAACAGAAGGTAGAATTAATCAATGAAGATATGATCGAAAGAAGTGATGAACCTGTTGCCGAGAAGTTTGTGAAGTCTGATGATGAGATCTTCTTCGTCACGGGTAATATTTCCTCTTTTGATACCAGGTCTCAGATAATTCAGCCATCTCAGCCTACAACTCTTCCCACACCTCTTCAGCCCTGCATATATATCACAACAGTAAAACTCGTTTATATTCTATATATCAGAGATAATAACTCACACACCCACATGTGTGTGTGTGTGTGTGTGTGTAAAGCATGGAAGCTTTGTGCGGATATAGTTGTAAGTATGAAACCTGCTCGCTTGGGAAGGTGTCTCCATTTTCCTTCGCCGTGAGTCTTAATGTAGTGAATGAGCTTCTTGTCTTCAATAGCTGTCCAAGCTCCTCTATTCAAACCTTCCTTGGCGCAGCAAGGACTCCTTCCCATCTCTCTCTCTCTCTCTCTCTCTCTCTCTATCCCCCCAAACACACGAAGAAGGTGAGAGAGTAGTGATGACGGGGTCAAAGGAAGAGGCTGTATCTCTGTGAGCTTTTGGGCTTGCGACGACACTTGTTCTCAGTGTGTATTTATATAGTAATACACACACACACACATGCTTAACTAGACATGTGTATATATTATGAAAACTATTGCTTTAAATTCTTGAAAACTAAAGTCTTATAAATCTACACACTACTGCCGATTGCTACGCTGTCTTTTAATGGACCACAGCAAGAATTTAATTAATTTGGTTGCAATTTACACATGCCATAATGGAAGAGGGAGATGGCCATCCATATAAGGAACCAGTTTCAGTACTCATCGCAATGATAAGTATCATTATGCCCATCACTGTAGTGAAATATAAACCATTCAAAATAGAATTTTAATGGTCTAAATTCAAAATTTTTAACTAGTGATTTTTAAATAAAAAATTTACAGTTAAAAGATTACATTTATTTTGGATTATGTACCTTATAAAAAGAAAATATTTTTTGAAAAACTAAAATATTAAATAGTGAATCTCAGTCATCCATAATAAATTTGAATGGTTAAAATTTGACGAGCATCATAATATTCTTACTATGATGAGCATTGAAACTAGATAATTGAGTATTGTTTGGGAATTAATCAATATATAATTAGAGTTGAATTAAATAAATGATAATAGGGATCATGCTCGTACGATTGTATGGAAATCATATGATTATTATGTGTGAGTTAATTAAATTAAATAAATGAGAAATTCACAATAAGAAAACAAAGCCCCGACGGTTTTTCCAACATAAATTAATAACAATGAGAGAGCCACGGGTCATTCTTCCCTTCAGGCTTCAATCTAACTTTCTCTCTCGCCCATTTTGAAAGTTAGCTGAAGAGAGAGACCATGAAACGAAAGGAAGCGAAATTAAAACCTCATCCATCAGCATCAACTTGCCTGTTCGTTTGTGGGATACCGTAATTTCTTAAATAAAAACAACAGGAAATAAAGTCATTATATGCATTCCACAAAGTGGGGAAGCAGAGCTCCACGTACGGTCTGAAATGGTAATGCTTCATGGGAGAAGAGAAAATGTGTCATGATGCGCGATCCAACGTACGATGTCTCTTAGTACTTCAACATCACATGGTCTCTCAAAAATTTTGAGGTCCCGTGCCCCATGCTTCCTTCTTTCTTCAATAATATGATTCTCAAGGGTCGGGAAAGATCAATCACTCAGTTGCAAAATTTATTATTACCTCCTGTACTTAATATAAGATCTTATTTAATTTTTATTTTGATTATAAATATAAGACCTCGATCTATTTTGTCTCTCGTATTTATATTTTTTTTTCATAAAGTAGTCTTTCTAACAATAGTAGTTCTAGCCAATATACTTGATTAGTAAGGATATTTTAGGAAAGACAACACCTATGTATTACAAATAATTAACTTAACTTTTTTTTCCTTAATCTTCTCAAATTAGTCAACTAGCTCTTATAATTAGGACCAGAGGTAGTATCTTACATAAAATTTCATATTAATATAATTTCTCTTCCCCATATGCTATGTTAAAAAGCATCATTCCATCTTTATTCTATATTCCTTCCACTCTTTTTTATAAAATCCCAATTTTTGAATTGGTTCCATCATATAATAAGATCTTATCTGCGAGTTATTTAAACATTAAATTCATTCTAATTAATTGTATTATCTTTTTTCCCATACGTTATGTTTCATATTTTTTATCTCTCTTTAAAAAAAACGTATGTTTTTTTACATATCAATTTTTTTACTAATATTAATATTTTTTTAAACTATGCAATTTAGTTATTTGATCTTATAAGAAGAATTGGAAGGAGTTTATATTATTTATTTCATATAAGTTTTTTAAAAAAAATTAACATTATTAAGTATAAAAAGTATAATTTATCCTGAATCTCATTTAAGTGTGCAAGCCCACAATCCCTTGATTAGAAAAACCAACCATTTCACCAAGTAAATATCGCAAACATTCTTCTTAATACTTCTAAATTAAAACAACAATTATAACCTTGTTATATATGCCACCAATATGACAAGAAGAAACCGGTCATGACATATGATCAATGAGTTCAGATAAACAAATGACTATTCCAGCTTTTGACCAAAAAAACAAATGACTATTCCAGATTTGATATAAAGTCTACCTGGACCCACGTCTAACTAATCAAAGATTAAAAAATCATTATACTACTTCCGGTCATTAATATAAGAGCTAGTTGATTAATTTAAATAGATTAAGAAAATAAGTTAAGTTTGTAATAAATAGGTCTTATCTTACCTAAAATACCCTTCCTAATCAAATATCATTTGATAAAATATTTAATACGTGCAACTATTAAAAAGAGTACCTTGAAAAAAAAGAGTAAATATGAAAGATAAAGTGGATTGGAGTCTTTTATTTAGGACCAAATTAAAAGTCAAACACACTCTTATACTAGTATTAAAAACCGGAGATACTATTTTATTGGAAAAACTAATGACCGTTCCAAATTTCCAGCAAACAAACTAACACCACAAACTTTCTTCTAAAAGTTTAGTTTAAGTTTATGCAGTTGAAACTGGTTTCGTTTCCATGTCAGCTGGCAGCATCACTGTACCTTTCCCCCGCAGGTGCTACCCCAAATTACTTTTTTTCTTGTGATGTTTTTTAATTAGAGTCATATATATTATAATCAAGAACTGTGCGTTTCGCAATGAAATAAGATGAAATAGTAGAAGGTGATGCACAATAATTAATGTAGACCCCCTCCCGCAAATGTGAGGGGCAAAAAACTCACAGGTAACGAGTGAAAAAATGGCCAAATTAAAAAAAAAAGATGCTAAAATATATTTTTAGTCATTTAACTTTATATAAGGTTTTGGTTTGGTCCACTAATTTTAAAATGTAATTTTTAGTCCTCTAACCCTAAAACTATTAATAAAAAATGATAATATTGAGATTTTGAATTTAAGTTTAATTCTAAAAAAAGGTAATTATTAAAAAAATCACCATTTAAAACTAAATTTTATAATTAAAGAACTAAAAATATAATTTTTAAAGTTAAGAATCTAAATTTAAAATTTATATAAAATTAAAGGACAAAACGTATACTTTAGAAAAAAAATTTCACTATGAAAAAAATAGAGTTTATAATTATTGTCTCATTTTTATAAGGATGGAGATTGTAGAAATAAGAAAGCTTTCCAAATTTTTTGTTTGGAAAAAGCTAAAAATATTAATTTGACTAATCAATAGCATCTCCTAAAATCTCAAATTGTGAGCGCTATGGAGATACGTAATTGATAAGTTAAAAGCTAAGATAATAACTAAAAATAATCTCGATGAATTAAATAAATTTGAGTCATAATCTCAACACTAAAATCCTAATATGTGAGCAACTTAACCGACACTCCAAAAGTAATATGACTTCAACTAATATACTATTTGATTTACCACAAAATAAGACCGATATTCTCAGGATGCGTTCTATTTATTATAATATTACTTGATTACCATAGATTGGGGGCACCACTATCTCAATCACTTGGTGTATAAAATTTTCAAAAATAAAATACTACAAATAGTAAATTTAGGCCCACGAAATTTTTTCGAACTGTATTCAACTAAAAATTAAAAAAAATGGAAACTTAATTAATTAATTAATCGGATCCTTACGTTTGTACGATGGCAAGCATGGATAATAATTGGCAATGGAACTTTGGTGGAGAAAAATCGTAACTAATTTCACGTTAATAAAGCCCATTAAATAATTTAAATTACAGATCATCACATGAAGTTTTAACCAATGAACGTGGCTTGGGATTTCTAAATTAATTTACCCCTCAAAAAGATATTGATGTAAAGTTTAAAGGGAAAGTGCCGAGCTACTAGTCCAGCACACTTCTGCTCATTAGAAAGTACCGAGTCAGTCCATTTCTCTCTCTTTCCTCAATTCCCTCCTATTTTTGTTCCCTACCATTGGATCAAATTTTATGGGTTCAGATTTGAGCATAAGTTTAAAACCTGCAAATGATGGATAAATAAATTTGAATCATTGAAATTGAATTTAATTTGAATCATGAGTACTTTGTACTGGAGATGATGAAGAGGACTAAGGGAATATTTGGATAAAATTAAAACCATAATTTTAAAAATATTTTATAGCATATGAAGTAAATATAAAAAATAAATTTACTTTGATTTACGAAAAAGGTTTTTTAATAGCACCCAAACACCTCCTAAGGCCAATATATTGTTGCAGATTGTTCTCGAGAGGAAGCTATAGATGCAGTGGTCCTAATTCCTATACGTATTAGTTGTTTTTTTATTATTATTATCACATGTTGAAATGATCAGTAGGGTAGGATGGTCCACCCTCTTTGACATCGCACTTTCACTGCGTTGTGTCGTAGGAAGATTTAAGAACCCCAACCACTTTTTGACAAAAAAGAAAAGAAAAAGAACCCTAACCACTTTGTGGAATATGCTGCTGGATCAACACACACACATATAGCTTTAGTTCTTTTTAATTGTCACTTGTAGCAGTTTCTCACGTAGATTATTACCTCTGATCTTAATATAAGATTATATTTGATTTTTATTTTGGTTCTAAATATAAGACCCCAATCCATTTTTTGTCTCATATTTACTCAATTTTTTTAAGATAATCCTTCTAATAATTATAGTTCTAGTTAATACACTTGATTAGCAAGGATATTTTATAAAAAAAACGTCTATTTAGGACAAATAACTAACTTAACTTACTTTCTTAATCTTCTTAAATTAGTCAACTGGCTCTTTTAATTAGTACCGGAGGTAGTATTAAATACATAAAATCTTTTACTTTTATCCTTATTAAATGGCTAGTATATTTTTTTTACTTCATTCCCCCTTTCTTCGCTTTTACATTTGTCCCCCTTAATGAATAGCAATAGAATTGGAAATGAAGTATGAAAAAAAGGTACAAATGACAAATAAAA